TGCGCTCCCTCCCGTGCGCAGGGCGCGCTCGTGGCGGCGCTTGCCCCCCAGGGTCGGTGCAAGCTGGGGCTCGCCCCCGCGGGGCAGAGGCCCGTGGTGGCCTTGCGAATCGCGGCGACGGTTGCCGCCCGGAGCTGAGGCGCGAGGCCCAGGAGTGTCGAGAGGGCCGGGGAGGCTCCGTCCGAGGGGCCCAGAGCCCGAATCGCGGCGATGGTTGCCGCCCGGAGCTGAGGCGCGAGGCCCAGGAGTTCCGAAAGGGCCGGGAAGGCCCCGTCCGAGGGGCCCAAAGTCCGAGGCCCCGTCCGAGGCCCCGCCCGTCTCCATCGCGCGCGCGGCGCGCCCTCGCGGCTCGGCGTGCTCGAGGAGCCGCGAGCTCCAGCTACTACTGGACGGGTCTGCTTCGTTGAAGGGGCCCCAGGGCACACAAACAAATACGCACAAATAAACATATCCCCATTATTTTCCCATATTTCCTTGATTTCTGTCTCCCCCCCCACTGCCCATATTTTCCCATATTTCACTGGGGGATCGACGATTCACTGTGTCTGTGTGATTTTTTCCCCTCCTGAAATTGGACGGGCCTGCTTCATAGACGGCGCAACTCTCTCTCTCTCTCTCTCTCTCTCTCTCTCTCTGGCGCAGCCCCCGAGGACGTGGAGCCCGCGGCGCGAGCGACGGGGCCGCGGGCCACCCCCTGCTCTTGCCAGGAGGCACCGGGCAAGAGATCGGAGCTGTGGGCACGGATCGGCCGCGCAGGTCGGCGGTGGACAGACCTCCCTTTAGTGAACCTCCCCTCAGTGAAAACGGCCTGGGGCCGAAACCGACGGGCCCGGACCCGCAAACATGACGGCCGCGACGCCCTCTCGCGAACCGCAAGTCGGCGGTGGACAGACCTCCGTTTAGTAAGCCTCCCCTCAGTGAAAACGGCCTGAGACCGAAACCGACGGGCCTGGACCCGCACAAATGACGGCCGCGACGCCCTCCCGCGAACCGAAAACGGCCAATTCCCTCATCGACGTGTCAGGGTAGGAGGTCTGTCAACCTCCGAGCAAGCGACGCGCGGGAGAGGGGGCGCGAGGAGCTCGGCTTGAGGCCCGACCGGCCGGCTCGTCGCGGAAACATTGAACATGTCCCCAGCAAGCGATGGCGACCCTTCTGGGGCCGGCGCGGGGCCAGCGCGCGGCGCGGCAGGGAAGGCCCCCCGCGCCCCCCGCGCCCTTGCCGAGGATCGGCCTCCGGCGAGCGGCGGGCCCCGCGCTCGAGAGACCCAGACTGGAAGCTCAATTTCCCACACTCTGGAGAGCTCCAGCTCTCTGGGGCATTGGCCGCGCGCCACGCGCTGCGCCGGGCGGGGATGGAAGGGGCGCGACGCCCGTCGCCTCGCGCTGCTCTGAGAGACCAATATTCGATCTCAGCCCGCGCGCGCCCATCAGAGTCCGCGGGCGTCTGCGGCGGGCCAATGGGCGCGGCAGTGGGCGGCGCAGGCGGGCGCCTGAAGGCCAAGCGCGACCGCTGGCCCGGGCCCGCATGGAGACCGAGATTGCCAGGAACGCGAGGAACAAGCCAGCGTCATAGATCTGCTCAGTCAGCTCAATCCACCGGCCAGAGCCGAGCGAGAGAAGTTGTCGCGGGCACCGGCAAGTCGGAGACCCCGTAGAGATCGCTCGACCTTCCAAGTTCCAGCTTCCCCCTCGCGCGCAAGGCCTCCACCGGGTCGACCCCGCAGCCCCTGCCGCCGACGCAACACCACGGTTCCCATCTGCGAAACCTCCGAGGCCTCGGAGACGCACCGCGCAGAACTGGAAGCCCCGCCCAGAGGGGCGGGGACAGCGCAACGGGGAAAACATCGGAGCCCCAGGGGGGGCGCCGCACAGGATGGCGGCACCAGCAGAAGGGCCCCCACCAGGGCCCGTCGCGGCTTCGGCCCACGAGGATCCGCGCCCAACCCTGAGACAGGCAGGCGGCAAACGCCGCGCCCGCTGCTTCTTGCGAGACTAACTTGCGTTCCTGCACGGGCATAGGCCAACTTGAGACGTCACCTTGCATGGAAGACCAGGACTTGCCGTCTACTGTGGCCATGGAAAGCTGGAACTGCCCCGGGGCAGGACGGAATGGCGGGAGAAACCGAATCAAAACGTGCCATCGAAGGCCCCCTTGCGGGGGGAGAGGGGGGGGGGGCGCTTTCGATGGGGGCCTGCGCTGCCCCCTGCCGATTGCATCCGCTGCTCGCTGATCCACGCGTGCTGCCGCGCGTTCAACCTCGCTCCCCATGTGGCGACGCTCCTCGCTGGCCATCGCCTCGTTGGCGATCGCCTCGCCGCCGCCTGACCCTGACAGCGCCAACCCCGGCTCAGCGGCCGCGGGTGAAGGGCCCGCCGCCGTCGACGCTGCCATCGCCGGCTCTGCCGCCCAGTAGATCGTGCAGGCACGGGGTCGGGCCGCCCTCCGCGGCGCAGCCGAAGCCTTGGGCCGCCCGGTCCCCGCCACCTGTCGACGAGCTCCGCGCGCTGAAGCTCGACTGCCTTGCGCTGCCCGCCGGGGTCCGCCAGCAGCTCCCTCCTTCCGACGCTTGAACATCGCAAGGTCGACCGCCGACCGCCTGTCGGACTGCGGCAACCGGCGGCGCAGACTGTGGAACTGCTCCTGCTGTGGCTCGGGGGCCGCCCTGGGAACAGCTGCGGCCGCGGCATCGAGATTGGGCGAGCGCGCGTTGATTATGGCCTGGTCGCCTTCCATCTTGGCCGCGGCGATGGCCAGCTGCACACCTTCGGCCCCGGGGCCCTCGCCGGCAGCCCGCCCCCCGCCGCCGCCCCCCCGGTCAAAGGCGCGCTGGATGCATGGCCGAAGCGCGCGGCGCCGCCACTGACCAGAAGGGGCCAGTGCCGACTCCGTGCCAGTGCGGCCCGATTCGATGCATGTCTCGGTGTGACCTGACTCTCCGATTCGGCTCTGGCTGACCTTACCAAAGCTTACCCAGGCATCCAGCGCCGAGGCGAGAGCGCGATTGTTGAATCGATTGGGAGACAAGTCGAGGTGCGGGCGCATTTCCTGAGTGGGGAGAGCTCGATCCCGAGGTTCACTCTGAGGCCCACAGCTAGAGCGCGGTTGCTGAGGATGTTTAGAGGACGCCCCAGGCGAGAGCGCAGCAGCAGGGGGTGAAACTTGCGTTGCGACGAATTGCTGGATTTGCAACGGTCCTCATGCGTTGCGTTTCAGTGTTGCTGAGTTCTGCAACGGCTTACAAGCGCTGCTTTTCAGTGCTGCTGAGTGTTGGCCAAGGCTCAAGGGGAGAGTGCGGCGGACGTAGAGAAGACGTGGACGCACGCAGGCCCCCGTCCCTGCAGGAAACAAAGCAGGGGGCGAAAAGGAGGGAGGGGCCAGGTTCCCCCCTGCGAGCAGTTCCTACCTGTTGCCACGCACTGTGCTGCGGCCCCTTGACTGCTGCTGTGATGCCGGACTATATGAATGATCTGTCGGATCAGAAGAGGATGCACGCTGAACGCTTGAATACTTCTGCATCAACACGATTTGCTCTACCTCGCGCTCTGTTTGCGCTTGGTTCCGTGATGAGAACGGCACGCGCACCGAAGCTGCAGGCCGAGCACCGAAGCCTGTGGAGGCTGCGAGGAAAACATCCCCCCGCGAGCGGGAAACACGGGTGCCGCCGTGGATACCGGTGCCCGGATTGCCGCTCGGAGGCCTCCCGGAGCGCCCGCCGGGGCCTGGAAAGGATCCTTCGACTGCCTCGATCGCCCTGGTCAAGCAGTGGCGAGGCGTCGTGGCTGGCTTATGTCGGTGGCGAGCGGAAGGGGGGATTGAGATGGAGGAGGCCTTCTCAGAAGGCGGCGGGGCTTCTCAGAAGTCATCTGACCTTCTCAGAAGTGTGTTGTGTGTTCGGGAGAAGCGTCGTTTTTTTTCACAAGGCCCGAGGCCTTCCGAGCCTTCTGAGAAGGCCCGCCCCATCTTACCTTCCCCCAGGCGCGCCGCCGATTATAGGCCCACCGAAGAGTGTTCTAAAAACCTTGTGTGATTTGCGCGGAATGGAATTACAACCTTTCTGGACGAGACGCTCTTCTGGTTGCTCCATGCATCGCTGGTTTTGGTTCTGTCACTTGCGAGCATTCTTTCTTTGGCCTGGGGATCTTTCCTGGCAGGCCCCCCGAGGAGTGCTCTGAGAGGGTCGGTTCCTGCACCACCGCGAGCCGCACCTCGCACCTCCGAGGCCCGATGGCATGCCCACGGGAGGTCGATCCCAGGGAGGAGGGAGGAGGAGGAGAAGGAGGAGGGAGGAAAAAGGAGGAGGAGGAGGAGGGAGAGGAGGAGGAGGAGGAGGAGGGAGGAGGGAGGAAAAAGGAGGAGGAGGAGGAGGAGGAGGAGGGAGGAGAGGAGGGGGAAGAGGCCGAGCTGCACCGGGATTGGAACCTGAACCCCCCCGCCCCCGAAAAAAATGGCTCTCCCTGTTGCGTCCGCCGACCTTTCGTGGGCGGGCCCGCCGCCGTCTCGCTCCAGAGGCCTGCTCCACTGCGCTGACTCCCCAGGAGGAGGATGCGTGCGGCCTCGGGTTTCGTTCGGTCGTTCGTTCGTTCGTTCGTTCGTGTGTGTGTGTGTGTGTGTGCGCATTGCTAGGCACTTCCTGTCGTGCTGCCTGCGTGTAGTTGCTAATGCGATTGTGATCTTCCTCCTCCTTTCCCTCCTCCTCCTCCTCCTCCTCCTCCTCCTCCTCCCCAGCCTCCTCACTGCTCTTTCCTCCCTCTCCGCCTCCTCTGCTTTCTCTCTGCCTCCTCCTCCCCATTGCCTGCCTCCGCTTCCCACTCCGCCGCTCAGTCCTCCTCTCCTTTCCGCCACCATCTTCCTCGTCATCTTGCTCCTCCTCCTCCTCCTCCTCCTCCTCCTCCCTCCCTCCCTCCCTCCCTCCCTCCCTCCCTCGCTCCCCCTCCCCCTCCCTCCCTCGCCCTTGCCCGCCCGTTCCCGCCGCCCCGCTCGCTCGGGCCCGCCCGTTTCTGCGCCCGCGCCGAGCGCTCGCGGCATCGGCAGATCAATTCGCCTGGCAGCGACGACAGTAGGCGGCGGGTGAGGGGGGAAAGTGAGAAGGGGCGGGCCTTCTCGGAAGGCTCGGAAGTCCCCGGGCCTTCTGAGAAGTGTTCTAAGCCTTCCCTGGAGACAGACAAGAACTTCCCTGAAGGCGCGAGGGCTTCTGAGAAGTCCCGCCGCCTTCTGAGAGGGCCTTCTCCTTCTCATGTCGCCCCCCTCGCTCGCCGCCGAGACAGAGCGGCGCGCAGACGCAGGCCGGCACCGAGCGGCCGCGCGCAAAATCACAGCCAGTGTGGGCGAGCGGGAGAGTGATCTGGCGAGTGGCAGCGAGAGAGAGAGAGAGCGAGAAAAAAACACAAAAAACAATCAAACAACATGTAATATATAATGCATAAGGACAGAGCGCGATAGAGAAAGACCGAAAGAGAACCCATCATGTGCTACCACGCCTCAACCAGCACGGTGAAAGGATTCGCACTGCCACTACACATCGCCTCCATACGCGGCAGCGCAAAGTACACCTGATGCCTGCGGCTCTTCTTAAAGAGTGCAGTCGAGGATCTGTGCAACAAGAGGGAGTAGCACAGCGGAAATGGACGCGGGCCGAGCAAAAGAGGCCAAGGCGTTGTGGGCGAGAGCCCCATGGCCCATCCAGCCATTTGTTTCACCTATCCTATACGACCACCCTTCGGGTGACAAGGAGGTTGTGGGGGGGGGGGGGGGGAGAGGGGGGGGGGGGGGGGGAAACCAGCATCTGGCTCAATCGACCTCACAATCGACCTCACTCAACGGGACACCACGGGACACCACGGGACACTTGTCGATCTCACTCAACGGGACACCACGGGACACCACGGGCCACCACGGGACACCACGGGACACCGCGGGACACCTCTCGATCTCACTATCGGTCTCACGATCGATCTCACTGTCGATCTCACTCAACGGGATACCATAAGACACCACGGGACACCTCGGGACACCAAATCAATCCCACAATCGATCTCACTATCAATCTCACTCAACGGGACACCATGGGACACCACGGGACACCTCGGGACGCCAAGTCGATCCCAATATCGATCTCACTATCAATCTCACTATCGATCTCACTCAACGGGACACCACGGGAAACCACGGGACACCACGGGACACTGCGGGAAACCGCGAGCCACCGCCGGACGGACGGGCGGGGGAGAATCACTTGTCTTGACTTCGCCCTAACAACGGCGGACACCACGGGACACCACGGGACACCGCGGGACACCGCGAGCCACCACTGGACGGGCGAGCGGGGGAGAATCATTTGTCTTGACTTGGCCCTAGCAACGGCGGGTTCATTCCTCTCGCGCGCCCACGCAGCTTCGCCTCGCCCGCACGCACGACACGAACGAAACGAAACGATTTCCCGGTTGGGGGTTTCCGTTCCACTGCGATCTCTTCTCCAACCTCCGACACGATGGCAGCCAGGAGAGGGAGAAGGAGGGAGAACAGAGAGAGAGAGAGGGAGAGAGAGAGAGAGAGAAAAACAAATACATCAGAGTGAAGGGGCCGAACGGTCATTCACTGTCCCTGGGTGCGTGGTTGAAGTGGAATTCCGCGGTGCGGATTGGCGTTGTTGTTGTTGTTGTTGTTGTTGTTGTTGTTGTTGTTGTTGTTGTTGTTGTTGAACATTATTTATTCTAAAGAATAATTGTTGTTGGGCCCCCTGGTGCGCGCCCCCCCCTGCGCCGCCTAGGCCGCAGCTACATTTTCATCACTTTCGTGAGGAAGCCTCAGAAAAGAGGGTGTGTACAAGATCCGGCTGTTTTGTTGTAATCCGCTTTCCCTTGCAAAAAACAATAGAAAATGACATTTCTTGTTCTAATATAATCAAATTTCAAGAATCCCTTGCAAAAAATAAGGTAAAGTGGACATTCGCGCGCGCAAGACGAAATCCTTCCAAAACCTTAGTGTTCGCAGCGATTTTAACATAAAAACATCAAAAACCAATGGTTTTTCAACAAAAAACTGTCAAAATCTCATCCCGCGCGCTCTTGCGGATTCGTAGGAAACCCAACACTTTTTAAACATTTCTGTCAAACGGGCTTTTGCGAGCAACTTTTTCGAACTTCTGCGACAACGGTTGCGCACCTGCCAGGGCCATCATCCCTGTCAAATAATACCATGCGGGACACATTCGTTTTTTCTTCGCGCGCGCACGCCGTCGTCGTCGGCCGCGGGGCCCTGAATAGTAGCCACGGTCGTCCGCATGCCACGAAGTGAAGTGTCCGAACGTCATAGGGCGGGAAGCTGGGTGTGGGTGGTGGCGAAGAGTCGTTTGGAAATTTGGTAGAGCTTGAACCGGCCCCCCCACAAAGTGGGGGTATTGCCCGCCTCCTATGAAAACCCTGGCACTGGTGAGAACGGAGTGTCCCCACGTGTAGTAATTGTTGTTGTTGTTGTTGTTGTTGTTGTTGTTGTTGTTGTTGTTGTTGTTGTTGTTGTTGTTGTTGTTGTTGTTGTTGTTGTTGTTGTTGTTGTTGTTGTTTGTTGTTGTTGTTGTTGTTGTTGTTGTTGTTGTTGTTGTTGTTGTTGTTGTTGTTGTTGTTGTTGTTGTTGTTGTTGTTGTTGTTGTTGTTGTTGTTGTTGTTGTTGTTGTTGTTGTTGTTGTTGTTGTTGTTGTTGTTGTTGTTGTTGTTGTTGTTGTTGTTGTTGTTGTTGTTGTTGTTGTTGTTGTTGTTTGTTGTTGTTGTTGTTGTTGTTGTTGTTGTTGTTGTTGTTGTTGTTGTTGTTGTTGTTGTTGTTGTTGTCGTCGTCCCACCCGCAACCCGCCCCGCGACCCACCCGCGACCCACCCCGCGACCCACCCCGCGACCCACCCGCGACCCACCCGCGACCCACCCGCGACCCACCTGCGACCCACCCCGCGACCCACCCCGCGACCCACCCCGCGACCCACCCCGCGACCCGCCCGCGGCCCACCCCGCGACCCACCCGCGACCCACCCGCGACCCACCCGCGACCCACCCGCGACCCACCCCGCGACCCACCCGCGACCCACCCGCGACCCAAACCACATTCAAGGTACAAACCACCATTTTCAGTGCCTGCGGCGGGTTTTTTTTGCATTCCTTCCAGGTGGAGAGCCCGCGACCCACCCCGTGACCAACTCGCGTCCAACCCGCGACCCAAACCACGTTCAGGGTACAAACCACATTTTTCGGCGCCTGCGGCGGGCATTTTTTTGCATTCGTTTCAGGTGGAGAGCGTGCGGCCCACCCGCGACCAACCACATCTTTCGGCGCCTGCGGCGGGCATCTTTTGCATTCGTTCCCGGTGGAGAACCCGCGGCCCACCCGCGACCCAAACCACGTTCAATGCACAAACCAGTTTTTTGGGCGCCTGCGGCGGGCTGCTTTTGCATTCCTTCCAGGTGGAGAGCCCGCGACCCACCCCGTGACCAACTCGCGTCCAACCCGCGACCCAAACCACGTTCAGGGTACAAACCACATTTTTCGGCACCTGCGGCGGGCATCTTTTGCATTCGTTTCAGGTGGAGAACCCGCGGCCCACCCGCGACCACGTTCAGGGTACAAACCACATTTTTCGGCGCCTGCGGCGGGCATCTTGTGCATTCGTTCCCGGTGGAGAACCCGCGGCCCACCCGCGACCCAAACCACGTTCAGTGTACAAACCCATTTTTTTGGCGCCTGCGGCGGGCTGCTTTTGCAGTCCTTCCAGGTGGAGGTGGAGAGCCCGCGACCCACCCGCGACCTAAACCACGTTCACTGAACAAACCAATGCTGGGAGGACGATGATGGAGGCCGATGAGGGGGAGGACGACAATGGGGGGACGATGATGAAAGGACGAGGGGGGGAGAGGGAGGACGAGGATGAAGAGGAGGAGGAGGACGAGGTGGAGGGGGAGGATGACGATGACGATGAGGACGAGGACGAGGACGAGGAGGAGGAGGAGGATGAGGATGAGGAGGCCAGTCTTCGTGCACGTGCTGCGCATGCCAGCGTGACGAAACAGCCAATGAGGATGAGGAGGAGGAGGAGGAGGAGGAGGAGGAGGAGGGGGAGGAGGAGGAGGAGGAGGAAAGCGCCATTGACAGGGAAGGTGGGGGCCACGAGGTCCGCCGGCTCGACGACGCCCGCGTCGCCCGCGCCCGCCCCCTCACTCTTATCCGCAATTGCGGGGTGCTACGTAAAACGACGGCAGAGGGAAGAAGGCAGCAAGGTACTGACATACAAAACTCGCGCGCGCGCGAGGCCCGACCTCCACGGCCAATGCCAATTGAACTGTCCGCACTGGGATCCCACGCGAGCCCAAGCAAAGAAACGGAGCCAAGCCTCCGAGCCTGGGCAGCCGGGCCGCGCCAAGCGAGCGAGCGCACAGTGCAGCATGCAGGTGACGCGGGCAGGGGAGGGGGGAAGGACGAGGAGGAGGAGGAGGAGGAGGAGGAGGAGGAGGAGGAGGAGGAGGAGGAGGAGGAGGAGGAGGAGGAGGGGGGGGGGCAGAGGAGGAGGAGGAGCGAGGAGAAGGAGGTGGAGGAAGAGGAGGAGGAGGAGGAGCAAGGAGGACCAGCGCACTGACTGTGGGTGGGTTCGCCGTCTTGGGCGTGAAATCCGCATCCCCTGGGTTGGGGCTTTCGTGAACACGGCGGAATCGCCCTGGCTAGCTCCCGACACTGCACTGCTGGCTTGCATTGAAGCTGGCAGCGTCAGCCTCAGCTAGTTCCTGGGCTAGCTGAGCCAAGGGGATGGGAGCTTTCAAAATTATCGGGGGAAAGGCCGCACCTTTGGGGTGTGGTCCCTCCACGGCTCGCTGTCGTTGCAGCTTGCGACCGTGGTTCGGCGGGGACTCTGGGCATGTAGCTTGAAATCCTGGTCCTCGAGTGCTCTCGGCGAAGCATCCACACTTCCAGCACATGATGATACTCGAGGGAATAGATTCGTCCACAAAACCGAAGAAATATGGGAGGTGTCCTTTCGGGTTGATGAGCAAATCACTGTGCAGTGCACAGTGCCCAGGACAAACCTCCTTCTCACGACGTTGTCTTACTTGGGTGCTTCCACACCTCTGTCTGCACGCAGAACAGTGCCAGCTGGAACCTATCTGGTGCCACTGGTGGGCCCTGTGGGGTCCAGGGGCCTCGGAGGCGAGGGGGGGAGGCCTCGGAGGAGGAGGGGCACCAGGGGCCGCAGGGTCCCGCGCACCTTGGCCCCAGGAGGCCTGGGCTGAGGCAGCCCCCGAGGGTGGGGAGAGACTCTTGACAGGCTTGGCCAGTACCTTGTTCCTACGTGGGGCAATCGCTGGCCACTCTCCAAGGGCCTTGGAAATATAACGGAGATATTTCTTGAGCAGAGCAGTGTCACTCTGATACTGCTCTGTCTCGTTAGTGCTGGGTTGGCTGCCAAGGTTCGCGGCGGCCTTGGCAATCCTATCGGCGGCATCGCTGCCTCTGGCTATGCGATATTCTTCGCTGTTGGGTGGCAGCAGCTCCAGATTTTGATGGGCCTTGACTTTCTGGAGCTTGGGGCCGAGGTCAAAGAAACCCCCTCCCGCGAGGACTTTACAACCAGACCACAGGTTACGGCGAGGGTAACCTGCCTCCCCATGCAGCTGCAACACTCCTATATAATCAGTATAAACGCTGGCAACCTGGCTCGAGAGTCTACCCGCAGCCACGGCTGCGAGGTGCTCAGCTGCCCCCGAGGTTTGGGATCCCAGGGTCCCAACGCGGCCACTGAAGGTGGCAAACTCTCCACCATCAACCATGCACACTACAGCAAACGCTGCCGCATTGAAATCATAGTGGCCGTGATTCGTACAGCTGCCGTCAATAAACACATCCCCTTCGAACGCTTCCTCAGGCCTTCAATGAGGGTATCGACACCAGAACTGGGCGGATTCAAGGCCAGTACCAGGAGGGGGGGAGCCCACGAAATCGGGCTTAAACTGGAAGCCGAGGTGGAGGGGGGAAGTGCCAGAGATCGGGTCTTTCAAGCTACGAAGCTCCCCACTATCGAACACTTCTCTGGCGTTGGCGGTCTTGGGGCGCTCCAGGAGGCGATGTTGGAGGTCATCTTTGTGGTGTCCACATGGGCAACCTTGGGGCACATCGTATCCCGCTGCTAGGGCACGCTCCATAGTCCAAATGCTCTGTGTGGCAAAGGCCAGCAACGTGCCGCGCTGCTGCTTGGTCATGTCGTCTGACCTGAGGATAGTGCATAGTGCTGCGGCATCCAGCCGCTCTCCTTGAAATCCCATCTTGGCAGCAGCCCGCTCTGCGAGGCGATCGTACCAGGCAATCTCGAGCTGCGTGGCACTGTAGGCTGGGGAGGTTCCTGGGAGGGGGTACTCAAGTCCTGCAGGGGTCACGAACCTAAAGGGCCCCTGGAACGACCAACCCACTCTGGCCAACGAAAGGGCCGCAGCACTGAGAGGGCCCCATACAGGAGCCCCACGCTTTAGAAACCCTCGGCAAAATAGCCTCACCCCAGTAGCTGAGTTGCTGGAGACTGACCACAGCCTTGTCTGGAAGGGTATGGGCCATATGGGCCTCCCAGACGAGACGGTGCCACATGAACGCGGGCCCGAGGCCCGCTTTCCACAGGGGGTCCTGGAGGATGAGGAGGGCGAGAGTACGACTCCTTGAGGCACACCTAGGACCTGCCGCGGCTAGATACTGAGACTGTGCCTGCGCGAGCATCGTGTTCTTGATGCCCGTGACCTCCACTCCGAAGGTGGTGGCCGCAGCCAGGCCAGTATTATATAGTTTCTTTCCATTGCCTCCAGCATGTTTGATCATTTTAATGCGGGTCATGCGTTTCTTGATCTTGTTGATTCGCTCCAAAAGCTTCCTTCCTCTCCTCCATCTCCTTTGGGGTCGTCCAGCTCCGCTTTCGATGCCGAGGTTGGGTCCTGAGATATCCGTGGAGGGCCCCGCGAGCGTCCCGAGGGTCTTAGGAGGAGCAAGGAGGAGAAGGACCAGGACGGGCAGGGGGAAGCACGCACCGGGCGCACGCGCGCGCGCCAAGCGGAGGCGGATCTGGCGGCAGGGCCCGGCGGTGCCCCGGCAGAGAGCGGCCGCCCCACAGCGGCCGGGGGGGCGGGCCCGCGCCTATAGAGAGGGCGGCCCCTGGGGGGGGTCGGCCAGCAGCGGCCGCGGGGCACCCGCGCGCGCCCAGCCCGCGCAGGCAGCGGCAGCCCGCCATGCAGTCGAGGCAGGAGGGAGGCTTCGTGTCGAGATCAAGGTTCAGGTCGGGCGTGGCCCCTTGTACAGGCGGAGTTTGGACGACAGAGGAAACATGCCCAAACCGTGCCCCCAAATAGTCAAAAAACTGATCCAGAGATCGTCCCCAGACTAGATCTTTTTACTATTTCTGAATATTATCCCTCCTGCAGCGGGGCAAGCCCGCGTCAAGCTCAGGCAGGCTCGTTGCAGCCAGCAGCTGGAGCGGCGTGGGCCTGTGAGGTGGGCCAGGGGCAGGCGCCCGCCCTGCCCGCAGGGCCAAGGCTGGCTGCCGCCCCCCCCCGATCCGACAAGGGATCCGGGGGAGGCACCGGCGCCAGGAGGAGACAGGGGGAAAAAAAGGGGGTGGACATGCGCAGGGATGAGAGACAGGAGAGAGGGAGAGGAACCATACTCCACACAGGAGGGAAGGAGAGGGAGAGAGAGGAGGGAGGGAGAGGAGGGAGGGAGAGGAGGGAGGGAGGAGGCAGGAGCGAGGGGGAGGAGAAAGGAGGGAGGCAGAGGAACCCTCTAAAAAAGCTCCTCCACACCGCCAGCTCCACTCGTGCTGCTTCCGCCCAGGCAGGTCGGAGCGGAGGCAAGAGGCAGAGAGAGAACGAGAACGAAAGAAAGAGAGAACAAGCACGTCGATACTCATACATATATGTATATATATATATATATGGATGTATACACATATTCCTTAAGAATGTACAGATATGAATAGAATGGGCATTTACATGTCGATAACTATGTACACATCTATCCGCACCAGCCCGCTGGGCACGGAGTGGGCGTGCCCTGAGGTCCTTTGCCGAATCCTCTATGCCTCAGTCCTCACTCCTGAGGAGTCTTGAAGGGGCCCGGACCCCAAATCGCCAAATCGTCTTGGTTTCCCCGCGGTTCCCCTGGGCTCCCCCGCGGCTTCCCGCATGACTGTTTCGGACCCGAGAGAGGGTTCCAAGATGGGCCAAGAGGGCCCCAAGAGACCGCCAAGACGGCCCAAGAGGACCCCGAGACGCCCCAAGGTCGCACCAAGACGCCCAAGATGGCTCCAAGACGGCCCAACAGGCCTGCGAGACGCCCCAAGAGAGTCCCCAAGAGGCCTCCCAAGAGGGCCCCGAGAGGCCAAAGTCATTGATGTCCCTTAGGCTGTTCAATGTTTTGGGGTCCTCGACTCTTCGAACTCCCGACGCTCCAGGACGGCCCAAGCGGCCCCCAGGACCGCCCAAAGACGGCCCAAGAAACCTCCAAGAGGGCTCCAAAACTGCCCCAAGACAGCCCAAGAGGCCTCGAAGACGGCCCAAGAGGCCCCCAAGACGGGGAACCCGAGCGGACATTTCGAGCCCTCGTCCCCAACAGGCCCGCAACAGGCCCCAAGAGGCCACCAAGAGGCCACCGAGAGGCCCCAATGAGGCCCCAAGAAGCCCGGAAGAGGCCCCCAGGAGGCCCCCAGAGGCCCCCAGAGGCCCCCAAGAGGCCCCCAAGGAGGCCTCAAGTGGCCCCAGTACTGTCCCCACGGGGCCCCCAAACTGCCCCCAAGAACACCCCGAGAAGCATCCCTGAGGACTGACTCACAACCAAGGCACGGCGGCGGGATGGGCCGAATGCGACTCGATCTATAAACAAACAGCACGCTCTCACACACACACATGTATATATATATATATATATAGAGAGAGAGAGAGAGAGACTCAGCTCGGTGTCTGTTGTTTAATGCACGCGTGCTTTGTTTTTAGAACAAACCAGCAACTGACAAACCACACACTTACACATATATTGTATACATGTACATAGACACATACATACATACATGCATGTATGCATATGTACATACATACATGCTTACAAACATACAAACAGACAGACATATAGACAGGAAGGCAGGTATGCCGGCACACATATAGACATACATGGGTACATCCGCATACATATATATATATATATATACTTGTCAATGCATATGTCCTTGTGAGCGCTCGCACAAAGCATGGGGAAGAGAAAGAAGGAGGTCCGGAGGGGAGGGACAAAATAATGGAAAGAGGAGGGGGGAGACCGAGAAAGAGAGAGAGAGAGAGAGAAAAAAAGAAAGAAATAACCACAAACATAACGGTATATATATATATATGTATAAAAAGGCACAGTTTGCCAACGTGGCCGCCACACAGTGGGCATTTGCAATCTGATTGTCCCATCTTTTGGGTGTAC